GATCATAAGGGACACCCCTGCTCCCCTGGGGTATTCAGTGACTGTTATCTACGAAACAGTCTCTCCAACCTGCCCCACCTCACCACCACACATACAGCCCTGGCCCTCGAGTGAATTAGAGGGAAGGAGGGGTCACATTTAACCCGGGTGTCTTGTAAGTTGCCCCAACTTAACATCTAAAGAGAATGGTCTGTTCCCAGCCACCCTCACCTTGCTGGAGATTGCACTGAGATGGGCCACGAGGTTTCGGTGTAAGAAAATGGAACTTAGTTCCCCAGACTGTCTCACAGGCTCTAATCGATGAAATCTTATAAATTAGGTCTTTATCCTGCATAACTCCTCTGGCCTTCTGTTTGCAGAAGACTTCACTGTCAAGCCATCTGTCAATTCCAGTGATTAGTCTCAAGCCATTGGAATAAAGAAATTAAACATCTTTGTAAAAATATTTTTTAAGACATCCTCTGTCTCTTCCTAGGTTATTGACGGGAAGAATTTCCTGAAGAAGACAGAGGAGGAGGAGAACAAGGAGCAGGAGAAGAGTAAGAGATCAAAAAATTAAAATTCTCCCACATGACAGCCCCTCAGGCAACCCAAAACGGACCATCCAGTCATCATCCTGCTGTGGGAAACAGATCCTCCTCTCTGGCCCCCAAGATACCCTTACACACCCAGGATACCCTTATGTGCACACACACACATACACTGAAGACCAGCTCTGATCTCTCTCCTGAACCAGCCACACCAGGGGACCAAGAAAGTCGTTTGTAAGTGGCAGCCCTTACTAAGGCCCTGCTTCGGGCTCCTCTGAAGTTCGAGCACTCTGTCTTCCCACACCGACACCCTGTGAGTGCCTGTCACTCAGCCGTGAAATACTGATATTGGAGAGCAGTGGTAATGAAATTCCCGCGACCCTTTGATTTCCAGGTGGCTTCTGCTTTGACACACTCTTGTCCCTTCTGATTCCGCGGTGTCCATCGTGATCAGTGGACTCTGCCTGCTGGGCTGGCTCCCGCCTTCCCTAAGCCCATCCTGACACTTCAATAAACAGTGTGCAGTGATTAATATTCCCTGGGCCAGTCCTTTGACTGCACCCCGGGCTCGCACCTGCCCTTCGGTGAACATCCTTTGTGTTCCCCCTAATTGCTGGGGCAGGAGGCCTTTGAAAATGGGCACTAGGGGCCAGGCCGCTGGCTCCGCTCATTGCTTAAATAATAAACATAAAAGCGCAGACATTTGTCACCACTGCAGGTTGTTGCTTCGCATATCTACCCAGGAGGGGATGGGAGGAGCCACTGGCTTCCCAGCAGGAATTTGACCCATGGGGAGCCTCAGTTCCTAGCCCTGTACTCGGGGGTTCTTCCATTTGGGCCTCATCTTATTTGTGCCTTGGCACAAATAAGTCCCTCAGCTCCGGGATTATAGTGTGATAAAGCTGTGAGATACCGATGCTGACACAAGAAGTGTATAGAAAGCTGGATTTCCCCCAGCTGGAGAGGATCTTGGGGCCTCTGGGGCTCCTCCGCTGGTCCTGTTGACGGGGAGGGGCTGTCCCTGAGACTGAGAGAAGCTCAAGAGGGAAGAAAGGACAGCAAAGGCCACAGGCTTTCCAGTGGTCTCTGTGCCTGCCCTGGAGGCCCAGGGTCATATACTCAAGCCAGGCACCTGCACCAGATGCAAAGAAGCATTGTAAAGAGGTGACCCGGAGCCCTGGGGAAGAGGAAAGAGCAGGTGTCACTTGCTTTGGGCAGTGGCAAAGACACCCAGGCAGTGGCTGGATTTCACCTGATTGGTGTGACCTACACAGCCCCACACAGAGGTCCTAGCCAGTCAGCCACCCAGCCTCTCCCCTCAGGAAGCTAGCTTGTCCCACCATCATCAGATCGAGTCCACTTGTAGTTGCTCAGAGTGTGGTTTTCCAAAGCACAGAATGTGTTCTGCCAGGGTGCGTGTGAGTTTGAGTGGGGGGTTTATTTTTATGATTAAGGTTCATAATTAAATTTTCTGCAAAGCAGTTTGCAAATACTGAGAGCCAGGTAACGTGCAGCATTTTAAATGGCATGTCCATGTGAGCGACACCACTTTTACTCAAAACCGTGGTTTTTTTCAGCACCAGGGACTGACCCCTGAGCCTTCTCAGTGAGCTACTTTGCCAGCACTTTGCACTTTTAGTGTTTATTTTAAGACCACTATGGTTGGCTCAGTCAGGGAAGAATTCTCCAGAATGGTGAACAGTAATCCTCCAAGTCCTAACCCATTAAACCTATGGAAATGACTTCCTTGGCCAAAGGCTCTCTTTGCAGAAGAGATTCATTCAAAATTCTCAAGATGAGATGAGCCTGGATTCAGCATGGGCCCTACAGTCAATGACAAGTGTCTGTCTAAGGGAAAGTCAAGGGGAGATTTGATCTGCAGGAGCACAGGGGAGGAGGCCACATGGAGACAGGGCGAGGGACCAGAATGATGCAGCCACAAGAAACCGGGAGAGGAAGGTAGGGTCCTCTGCCAGAGCCTCTGGGGGAAACTCAATGCTCCTGGACTCTGGACCACCAAGAGTGAGGTTTTGGTGTTTCAAGCTACTGGATATGTTGGGCAACTTCTTATAGCAAGCCTGGGTGAGCAGACAGACTTCTTACACAAATGAGACCTCTCATTGGCTGCAGCATCCTTCTCCTGAGTCCAAACTGCACACCACCCTGACACATCGCCTACCATCCCCAGCCTCCTCCTGCCTGACCCCAAGCCTGTGCATGCCCAGTCCCCATCCAGAAGGCCTCTTCCTCTCCTCCCACATCCACCTTTCCAGAGGAAACTGATCTCCCAAGAGAACTTCCCCTCTGTGCTGCACCCCTAACAGTAACAAGGGGGTCCTCATCCTCCACCAGACAATGAAAGCAGTCAGTGCCATCAGCTGCTTCAGAGTTTGCCAAGCAAGGCCACATTCGGCAGCTCTTACAGGCACCAATGGGGTCCTTAAGACAGAACTTCAACGTCCCAGCCACACAACCAAGAGACATCTGGAGAGAACCGTCTTGTCCTTCCCAGTGGGATTTAGTCAAAGATGGGCAGCCAGTTAGTCTGTCTGTCTTCATCCTGATGACATTATCCAGAGCAGGGAGTGTCTTTCTCCCACCTTTCAGGGCCTGATACAGAGCCTACAACTCTCCACAGAGGCCAGCATGAGCTTCCAGCCACAGCTGGGCTGGCTGCCTTGAAGATTCTGGGAAGAGAGCTGGTGGAGACTTCATCCTATGGGGCAACTGGCAGCATTATGGTTGGCTTGGTGTGCTCCACTAGTGACGGCTGGTGATAGCCCACCCCTCCACAGCCGTGGCTACCAGCTCCCGGCCAGTGCCACAGCAAGAGTTCCAGTCCTACAGCTATGCAAAGGAACATTCAAGAGCTGGACTCGATGGAGCCAAGGGTCAGGGCAAGATCATGGAATCAGAGAACGAAGAGCCAGCCTACAAGGGTTGTTGTTCCGGGGCCGCCCTCCCACATGGGGCTCCCAAGCTCCCCACATTGTGTCCCCAATTTTTCATCCTCCAGGTGGTCTGAGTTATGGCCTGCACTTCAGAAATTGTTAGGTTGGCCCTGGACAACTGACAGAGGACGGCAAGCTTGAGATGATCTCAGGAGAGGGAAAGGGGCACACACAGAGGATCTAAGAAACAGAAATGACTTTGCTACCACCTACTATTGTCACCATAAGAACCAGCAACACAGCAGAGAATTGCAGTGTCCTCTGGCCCTTCCTGTGGGAGACCTCTCTCCTGTCCTAAAAAACAGATCCCATTCAGCTCTGAGATGCTCTATTTGGGGTGCGTCACCAAACATGGCCCATTGGGAAATTCCCTTGGCTAACGAGCAATGTGATACAGATGAGGTGACAGCCACAGGACATGGAGAAGCAGCAGAGCTGGGTGCCCTAAACATATTTCTACCTAGTCTTGCCCCACTGCATACCCATCTTTCCCCTCTGGATTTTGACCCTTGACCTTCCTTAACAAAATCTGTATTTTTGTCTTCTACAATTTGTCATCCAACTTCAGGAACAGAGACCTATCTTGATTTAAATTCTCCAAGTAACAAAGTGCTGCTCCTTTTCCTTGCCTCCAAAGAGGATTTTGAGTACCCAGGTTGAGCGTGGCAGTGGGGTGGCATTGAAGGGTAAGTAGAGGAAGCAAGTGTCATTTTCCTGTAGGGGGCGCTGGAGCCACGAAAGGCAGAAGAAGAAGTCACTATCCACGTGGTCCCGCAGGACCACAAACCTCAGACATCAGACAGAGCCCAGGGTCAGCCCTTGACCAGACTACAGTGAGCCACAAAAGGACGCTAATTTGGTCATGGTTAGCCAGATGGGGTCCAGCGGCCTCTCCCGTTAGGTCTTCCTTCAGTCTTCCCAGGGAACGCCGAGCAAGGCCAAGGCCAGGCTCGCTACTGCTGGGGAGAGGAGGAAGGGAGAAGATACGGAGGTGCAGAGAAGGTGGCGAGTGGCCCTGGGTGCCCGGTGATTACGGCCTACGCTCCCCTTTGCCAGGAAGCAGCCAGACCCAGTGTGCGTCCACAGCAACAAGTAACTTACAGAAAGGATGGGGGCAGCCAAGGACCGTGTTGCCCATAGAACCACTCAGACATCTGCCCACAGGGGCTCCCACGCTGTCTGTGGATCCCCAGAGCCTCACAATGGCAGAGTGAAAAGAACCCAGCAAACCGCCCTCCCCAGACGGTGAGGCAGGCCCACCAAGAGTCCAGGCTCACGGTCCCCCAGGGTCTAGGGGAATCGTTACCCACGCCAGGCCTGGGCTGAGTGTGGAATGGTCTCTCTCCACACCTCCTGCCCTTACAATTGATTTAGAGTCATGCTAAGGGTCTCAAAGGTCAGCCTTTGTCATTGTCCCTCATGTGCTAGGTCCGTGATGGCTCCTGAGTTTCCTGCATCCCGATGTCAGCTTGGTACCTTCACCTCCCCAGTCCAGCTTCACCTCCAAGACCAGCATTACCTGCCACTTCCGGTGATCGCGGTCCAAGTGGGGGTGGGGGGCAGCTTCTTCTTGGTCCCCAGGGTGGCTTGCGTAATCTGCTGGCTCTCAGCTGAACTCGGCTCTGCCAGAAATTCCCTTCGCACCTGTCGGACAGAGAAGCACAAGTGTGGGAATCTGCCTGGAGGGTGCTCGCTCAGGAAGTCATGGAGGATCCTGGGGGTTCCCTGGGAAACTCTTGGCTGCACTGTGACTCTGACCCCTCCGCCCCCAACCCTCTCCCAGCAGAGGATTGGGGACTACCCGCACCAGTGCTTTACGATGCTTCCCATGCTACTTGGCAAGAGCTTTTATGAAAGTTACTGCAGTTAAATGCTAAACTTGATGGCGGTCACTACTTGCCAAAAATCATCCGATCGAACTTTCTGTGATGACAAAAATGTTCTCCAATCTACATTTACCGGTAGTCACTGTGGCGACTGAGCACTTGACATGTAATTAGCATGTACAAGAAACTGGGTTTCGTGAATAATTTCATGGATTTAAATAACTATAAGTAGCCATGGCTAAAATCTTCCCAGACTCCCACCAGGAAGGGCCCTCCCACCAATCAGGGATCCTGATTGGTGAGCTTCAGGGCACTCACGTCCCAAAGGGCGGGAAAGCAAGGGTGCAGAGGGAAACAGGGCCTTCCTGATGTTTATTCCTACCCAGACCCTCTCATCGCTACTATGGCATGTCCTTTGTAAGGTGCACCACACAGCACACACAGTAGAACATACACATGCCGTGCAGATGAATAAACATGCCACGGACTGAGAAGGGTGCAGGCTTGCAGTGTCCTACTGATGGGAAGCTGCAGTCTAATCTAGACCAGTCTGCAGGTAATCAGGTAGAAACGAGAGTAGCCGCCATGTCCCCAGAGCAGTCTTTTATTTTAAGGTAGTACTGGGGAGTGAAGCCAAAGCCTTCACACTGAGCTAGATCTCCAGCTCCTTTTGAGCCATCTTTCATATTCTGAGACAGTCTTGCTAAGTTTCCCAGGCCAGGCTTGAACTTACGATCCTCTTGCCTCAGTCTCTTGGAGAGCTGAGATGTGATAGACAGGTATCACCACATCGGGCTCCTATGCTCTTTTAAGATATTTTTTGCTTGCTGCTTAGGTGCAGAAATTCCCTTCCCTTGCCAACCTCAGTTTATAAGAACCGGCCTCCCATGGTGAGCCCTCAGAACCCTCTGGGGAAGGAGGTGAGGCCACCTGCTTGGCTGCTCTCCTTCCTCATCTGTGGAGCCACTGCCAAGATCCAGTCACAATACTTTAATCACCAGCATTTTAAAGAAGATTTGCATTGTGCTAGATCCTCTTAGGTGCTGGCTTTTCCTGGTGGCAGCAACTGGCAAGTGGCTCTTTGTTCCTCTTTACCCAGTGTCCACTTTTGTGCCTGGGGCAGAACTGTCATCCCCAGTGGGCCTCAGCTCATCCTTTGAAGCAGCTGACCCGCACTTGTCAGGATGACAGGTTCCCAGAGAAGCTATCTGAGGCGGGGTAGGGAGCCCCAGGCTGCTGTGTTGCTAATCACCAGTTCCTGAACCAGCCGGGCTCCTGCAGAGCCCGGAGGAAGAGCGATTTCAGAGTGCAGAGACAAAATAGGCAAGGACCTGCTGGGACAGTTCTCCCCTGTGTGCTGTGGTCACCTCTGCTCCTGCAGTCGGCAGGTGACTGTCACTTTCTTGCAGGTGTTAAAAATAGCACAGTTGGAACCGTGGACTCCACTCGATCAAATAACCTGGAGACTGCTGGGCTAGTCCTAGCCCCTGAACTCGGAGCTCAGCAAGCAGGAATCTGGACACTGTCATTCCTTAGCCACAGACTACAGTCACAGTGTGTAACCACCGAGGCCCATTCACCTCTGAGCAGGAAAACCTGGTGGTGCAATTTGCCCCTCAGAGCTTCCGTGGGCACAGGCTGAGGCTGGGTCCCCCCCTGCTCCCCCTTGTTGGTCTTTCCCGGCCCAGTCTCTCACACCTTCTCTGCCAGTCTCCTGGACAGAATCCCCAGCTCAGGCCCTGCACCCCAGGGGTGCCAGGGGAGCACTCCCTTCTCAGAGTCTCAGCACAGGCAGGTCTGGGAGATGCCCACACATGTGCATGGCCCTTTACGCTGTACCCAAAACTCCTTTTGCTCGCTTTATTTTTGAGGCTGTGTTTTAAGGTCAGTTTAAGGTCTGTGTCTATGTATGATGTGTTGACCTATAAAGCGATTTATGTTTTTGTGATCCGCTGCTGCGTAAGGTCCCAATGTGAAATCTGGCTCCTAGGCTTCGTGGACCTGGCTTCCTGCCTCTCTCTGCAGGCTTGAGACTAACACAGTACCTTTGTCCCCAGGCCTCACAGAGACCAGTCCTGCCCCGTTGACCCAGCAGGGACACTTGAAGGTTTGTAGGCTGAGGCCAGGAGCTCTGGGATGCACTCCCAGGAGTGCATAGAAAGAAGCGGGTGAGGCTACACTAGAATCTTGATCTGGACTGGAATCCGTTGGCCTTCTCTGCACCATCCCGCGGCCCCTTCCCTTTCTGGAGAGCCCAGGTCCACAGACAGGCCTTGCAGGTCCCAGGCCAGCCTCTCATGAGTCTCATGCTTTTCTCTCCTCCTCAGGGGATAACAGCACAGAGAAGTAGAGTGGATTATGCACAGTGAAGCCTCCGCACACCCTAAGCAGGACCTGAGACTGCAGGGCGACAGCCTGCTGTGATGGCGCACGCCTGTAACCCTCACATTGGGAGGACTGCCGTGAGTTCAAGGCCAGCCTGGAACAAACCAACAAAAAGCCCAGGGCTGTAGTCAGTGGGACCCACGGCCTTGACCACGTGTAGGGGCCACATGCAGCAGAGGCCACATGAGCTCAGTGCTGCCGAAGGGCACTGCACCAGGCCCACCCCTCAGTCTGCAAGAAGAGGAAAATCCTTGCTCCTAACAGAATCCTGTTCCCAAGCAAGGGCTTGCTCTTCCTCTGCTCTCCCTAGTTGGAAACCCTAGAACCAGTCCCTGAGTGTCTCCTGCCTCCAACAGCACCAAATACAGCTGCACATTAATCAATAAAATCCAATTCCATGGTCCAGTGCCTGCTTGGGGCGCAGTAAAGACGTAATTTTGTGAGCACTCCGAGCGTCTAGGCCTCTAGTTAGTGTCAGACCAGTTAGGAATCTAAAGATGAATTTTCTTCATTTTTTCATTTCCAGTCTGAAAATGGGTTCTGCATCTTCTAATCCCTCTCCTCCACCTCATGTGGCTCCGTTAATGAAAACAGCCATGTGCAGTACAGTGTGGTATTTGGAATTGACAACAAACAGAGAAGAATACATCAGAAGGGTAGACCGGGAAAAACTCCCAATGCTGAGAGTTTAGAAGCTCATATGTAGCAAATAACTGAGAGAGCTGGACTCACATGAAAGTTGGCAAGTTTTTATGTAAATTCCAGGTATATTTTAGAGTTTGCATGCCATAAACCTCGGTCATGTGTGTGTATGTATGCAGTTACACGAATATCTCCTTTAAAAATAAAAAAAATATGTAATGGTTGATACATTTGTCAACTTGAGAAGTTTAGAAATTAAGAAGTTTAAGCAACTCAGCAAAGGCCAAAGTCCTCACTTTGTAAATATCCTGAGCCTGTGCAAAAGGAAAGCAGGGAAATTTTGAGTGCTACACCCACTCGGGGACTGGTAACATGCCACGACATAAGGGAGGAGAATAGGCTTGCTGTCTCCCTCTTTTGCTCTTGCTGATTTTGCTGATTTCTGCCGCCTTAAAGTGTTGCCCCTGTGCCATGCCAGCTGGCATTGGGGCCAGCTGATTACAGACTGAAACCTCCACACACTGTGAGCTAAATAAAACCTTTTCCTCTTTAACTCTGGGTATCATTTCATCTCAGCCACCAGAGAAAAGTTACCAAGACACCATGTCAAACTCATGAGGGTGTACTAAAACAGATAAAAGGTCATGTTTGACCCATGATCCATAGTTGTCTGTGTAACTAAATAAAAATAAATATTTCTGTATATGAATATATATTTATTCATTTAAGGAGAAAACATAAGGGAATATATTTGTATACTGTGAAATTGGCTTAGGGTTAGGGTTATTGGGAGTAGAAAGAGATTTCTTAGACAAGAAGTAGTAATCCTAAAGGCAACATTAGCTGACTTTAAGAAGTCAACTTCTGGGCAGATATGGTGCTGAGTACCCGTGGTCCAGGTATTTGGAAAAATGGCTTTGAGACCAGAGGTTCAAGAACAGCCTGGACAGCACAGTAAAACCCTAGCTCAACAACAACAACAAAAAAAGACAGACAAACAAAATATATCCTCTTAATGACGAAAAACCTCAGCATTGAGGATTTATGGTTTATATCTGGAAGTCCCCCCCAAAGCCTCATGAGCTCATAGGTGGGCTTTGAAGAGGTGATAGGATCATAGGCCGTGATATTCATCAGTGGATCAGTCCACGCATGAGTCTTAAGCTCAATGTGATGTTGGCAGGGGGAGCCTGGTTGCAGGAGGTGGGATGACACCTCCAAAACTGCGCTCCCTCCTCCTCCCTTGGTCCCTCTCTGCTTCCACGGCCATGCCATGGACTGTTTCTCCTCCACCCCTCTGCCTTGCCACCCCACCTTGGAGCCAACTGGTTATCATCTGAAACCTCCACAACCTGTGAGCTAAATAAACCTTTCCTCCTCTAATTTGTGGTGTCATGTACTGGCTCAGCAACAAGAAAAGACAGACAGCAAGTGCAAAATAAGAATTCCATTCCCAACAGTGCAGTGAAGTAAAGACTCAGATTGACTGTGACCATACTCACCCTCGGACTGAAAAATAAATACGGATTATAAAACATTTAAACAAATTTAAATCTATTGAAATGTTGATTAGAAGATAAGAAATAGAAGTCCAAAACCAAGGGAAAACTGAAACCTGGAAAGGCAAGTTTGTTTTCACTATGAGGGTCATTTGCTAAGCCAGGCCAGGTCAATTGGAGGTTTTTATGCTCTGGGGTGCTGAACTCAGAACATGCACAGGTGATAATCAAGTGAAGGGTCCAGCCTCCCTCCTGTATAATGCTGAAACCTCCAAAAATCACACCCTCGACA